CTCAGTTAAGTATGGGACATAAAATGACCAAACAACTTGGAACAGAGAATGTACTGGAAATAATGCAACTGCAACATACATTATGTAGACTTTTATTTCATCTATATTGACATTTTATTTTTAATCTAAATCACAATTGTGATATTCAGTCAAGTATTCTTTTACAAGTCAACGGACAATGAAAAATATATTTGTCAGATCTATAACTTTCTGCATGATATGTGTTCCAAAATAGTTTATTTGGGGTACCTACATGTATATTAGCACACTTGCTTGTATGAAGTGTAGTAGGCCCGCATTTCTAGATATGATCCTTCAATATCTGTTCTTTGTTCCTCTCCTGAGTTTGTAAACCAGCATGCCTTCATCGTCCACTGTAGAGAAGCATCATCCTACATGAGAGAAAACAATGTAGGTACTTCAATTTAAAAGCGATAATAATGGATATACATCAACCATAATACATCCTATTAACAGACTTTCTTTAATTTTATTTTGTGTTCTTCGTCATCTTAATTGCTCAAGAAGTGAAAGGACCACTTACAAAAAAAAGTGATGAGGGGTTCTGTGTATACCCTACATGTATGATCATGTAGTGCTTTGAATGTGCATTAGATATGGTTCTTTTACACACAGGACCTCCTGTAAATAAGGACAAATTTCCTTTGTAAACAAAGAAAGGAAAGATATCAATATTTGTGTGCTAAGTGCAGAACTAGAATAAAATATACCTCCACAATATACGCTGTCAACAAAAACTTAGTTCCATTTCCTTTTTAGTGAATTAATAGGTGGTCATTTAATATTTGTGTGCTAAATAGCCTGAACATTTTACCTGCATGGGACTTTCTGCTTCATCTTGCAAATATAAGAAATGTTTTAATGTCCACTCATCAGTTAACTCCTTCCAGATCTTCATCAGTTTCATTCTGTTGGAACAAAAATTTAAAAAAAATCGATATGACAATCAAGGCGTCCCTTTCTCCATAACAAAATAAAATAGATCTAGCATATTAACTATTTTTCATGTCATGGTTGGCCTTAATTTTAATATGGTGTGGAAATCAACATTCCAATTAATGGACCACAGTACAAATTAAAATTAAATGGAAGATTAAACTTGTGCTTCAAAAAGTGCTTTATATGGCCTATACATATAAAGTAGTCTTAAGTAAAATTGGTTTATTAAGACAAGAAGAATTGGACTACATAAGTAAACATAATTGTGGACTAGTAGGGGTCTTCTCTTACACAAACAAATAGATTTATCAACATGAACTGCACAACTTGGAGAAGAAAAAATCTCTCTAATATATTAAAAGAATTAATAGGGGTCAGGTGCGTATGCAGGGGGGGGGTTGGGGTTAACCCCCCCCCCCCCCCCCCTTGAGCTTTTTTTTATATGTATGTTTTTTCTGGAACCCCCCCCCCCCCTTTTTTTTTAGTGTTGATTTTTTTTTAAATAAAAAAAAAAAAAAAAATCCTAATGGATGACCTAAAAAAGATGACTCCCCCCCCCCTTATTCAGCGGCTGGCTGAGTTGTTGCAAAGTTTTTGGCCCGATTTCAAAATGTTAAACCCCCCCCCCCCCCCCCTTGAAAAAATCCTGCGTACGCCACTGATAGCTAGGGTCTAGATCTAGGCTCTAGACAACTTGACAAGCACGCTGGACCCACACAAAATCTAAATATTAAATAAACAAATCCTAGTGTTGATGTTTTTTAAATAGGTCTAGGTCTAGATCTAGTCTATATTTTATTAGAATAAGTTTCAGGTTTACATCTAAATGAATAGGATTTGGAGTTGTTTGATTATCAATGGTCACAGATAATTTTGGTCTAAATAAAGTTGACACGCACCGCGTATGCAACTGAGCGAACGGATGGCACCGATATTGATAAGTAAAGCCACAAGTCCACATCTAACTTTGTTAGACCTAGTAGTAGAGTCTACTAAAGATTTTAACAAGAATTAATCCACTTGGATTATCAAAAAAATCATGCTCGTAGATTACTTTAAGGTATAACGTTAAATCTAGATTTAAATTAAATCGGTGATTGGTGAATTATAGATTCATGATGACGATCAAATCTCAAATAAAACTTGATTAGAAAGTTTGATCTTGATGCAAATGAGCACCGAAATTCCCCGGAGTGGGCCTGCCGGAACCCCTCGGGGCCCTAACTGGAGTACTAGGGTGAAATGACAGCAAGCCGCAGTCAAACTACTTCATGACGATGAAAATCAAAGTGCAATTTCAAGAGCAATATTTTACTAGTCTTTTCCCCAAAAATCTGTTGAGAACTGTCTCCAAATGTAACGAAATTACCGTACATCACGAAGGCTATTGCAGCTTTTTCAAAATTGATGACTAAATTCACTTAATCTACTCATATTTCAATCAATTACTCACCCATTCTCAATGAACTAACTCTTCTCAGTTTGTGCGAGTGTAGTAGCGTCGTGCATAAATCTGCATAATTAAAGTGACGCAATGAGGTCAAATATATTATCCGGTTTCTTAAACGATACTATCGATAAAATACATATTCATGAGGCTCATATCCAATCAAAAAGCCGCCTCGGTAGCTTATTTTGTCTTCAAATGATCCAAAAGAGGCGGAGCCTAATCCCATTCGTCTGCATGGTTTCCGCGGTTTCCGCGCGTGCTGCTTTCCGTCTAGTAATTATATTTAAACATCTTTGCAAACTACTCACCTGAATGTGCCACCCTGTGAGCCACAGGTAGACAGCCACAATATCCACAACGAGGAGACTGTGGGTCCTGCTCAAAGACGTCCCAATCATGACAATTTTGGCAGGGCCCACGCCTAATAGCCCATCTTGATGCCCCGGCTTGATGCCGAGCCTAGCCCGATATGCATGATGAGCGCGCCGTACGTACAGACTATACGTTCTGTTGTTATCTCTCTTTCTCTCTCTCTCTCTCACACAGATTTTGAGAAGTCCGTACTGCCCCTGTACTGGGACGGGAGTGCATGGGACTCAATGTTTTTACTTTTCATAATGAAATAATCCTGAATGAGCTTTCAAAACTAGCAGGAATTTCTGAAATCTGATCGCGGGATTTCATCAATTTTTCTATGTTCAACTTCAAGATTTTTTATAACCCCCTTTTTTAATTACAAAGAGATGAGAGAAAAACACCCCTTTTTTAAAGAAATCTCCGGGTGAAAGTCAAATACACCCCCTTTTTTTTACATTTCTCGGGCCGGACTTTGTCGCACGAAAAGTACCCCTTAATTTACCGGACATTTTGGCAACACGCATGCGGTCATTTCCAAACCTGAGTGGGGGGGCCGGGACTTTTTCAAATTTTCTGAGGGAACAACCCCCTACAAAAACTGAGGGGGGACGTGGGACGTGTACCCCTGCCCCCCCCCCCCGGGATCGCCGCCCCTGCATCACACACACTCCCACTCAGTCTTAAAAACATCGCATAATGATGATGCATTTCGAATTGATTTGTTCCTAAAATAGACATTGCGTCATCACAAAGGGACAAGGCGGGGATAACCCCCGGATAACCCGAGTAATTTACTGCGTTGACAAGTGTCATTGAACAATCAAAGGTCTCTGGTGTTATGTTGCACAGGTTTATCCGATGATGTACCAGCATAAATCTATGATCAAGGATATGAAATTTATCACTAAGCACTTACAGTTGTTTTGTCGCTCACTTGTAACTCACTTGATCCAGGATTGTTCAGTTTTTATACTTTTGTTCCTATATAGTTTTCACTAAATAAGTCTCTGAACACAAAGATCTTGGTTGTACAATTATTATATAGTTCCTTGGAAACTTGTAGAATGGTAAAAATGAAACCATGAGCTCTTGACAGATGTCGTGACGAGTATGGTCATTGATCAATGTTATGATCATGACCAGTATATATATATATTCACAGGAGAGTATACATACGAGAATCGACATAAAAACTTGTACATTATTTACAAGGTTAATTTAAGAAAATCTGCAGTATTGTAGATTTATATACGATTGTATTATTCGTCTCAAATTATTTTTGTTGAAACAGTCTCTTCTTAGTTTTGCTGCAATGCTCTTGATTAGGAACTATCATTATTCTTATCATAACAAAACAAGTTTTGTTTCAATTATAATCATATAACTTAAAAAAAAGCCATGCATTATATCATTTTTAAAGTAGTCAGATGATGTCTTAAAAGACCGGTTTACTAACATATTCAAAGTTTATGCAAACTTTTTTAATTAAAGGTTGTTCTTGAGAACCCCAAAGCTTGCTCGAGGCGTTTCCAACATAGCAAAAGGTAACGCATGTAGACTGGATTCCAAGTCTTGTAGTTCATTCACTAATAACAGGTTAATGGAATAACTGGTCACTAGGTGCCCGGGAAAGAAACATCAATAAATTATGTTAGTAAACAGGCGTATTCCCGGGGATCCCACATAACTCACAAGGACGATCAATTTTCAAACCCTGTCCCGGGTTTCAAATCTAACAAAAAGCATTGAACATGTCCAGGTGTTCAAATCGTGTGATTTGATATCGCAGTAAGTGAAAGCTAAAACTAGCTAGAAAGATATGCTTGTACATTTTGACCAGTGTTTGCGTTATAGACAGAACAGGATGTGAAACGTAATATTTACATCGTGACAGTCAAGTACCAGCACAAACTATTTCGTTTGGAAAAGAACCAAAATAAATTCTAAGAAATGATTGATGTTCGTTTCATTGTTCCTTTGTATATCCCCCCTCCCCCCCCCCCCCAAAAAAAGGTCTAATTTCGGCTCGTTTTCCAGTACCTGAAAAAAATCCAGAGAGTGGGTGTTGGTACTTCGTGATTTTAAAATAGCTGGTCTATCCCGTATTGCTACCTTAACAGGGAAGATGTGTCAATCTATGGGCTGTTAGAACGAACTGGTAAACATCTCTATATTACTAACAAATTAAACTAACTAATCTAAATACGCTCTATATTGTCTCCACGAAGATCATGTTAAGATTTTTTTTTAATTCGGACAATGAAGTAAAATCAAATATATGACATTCTTTCTGGTTTCTGCGAATTCAGCTGTCGACATTTTCGCGTAAACCTTTATTTTTGAGATAATTATACCGAAAGTTTGAAATGTGGTACCTGAGTGCTAGTCCGTGTATCACCCACCGACATAACCATTCAATAAACGACCACGACGACGACTTTAATGAATTTCATGACGGTGATCACGATGAACGTAAATTCGCTGATTATCTGGACGAAGGCGGCTATGACTACAGGGAGCATGTCGCCGCAGATTCAATCGTAGGCAAGCCACTTCAGATGTTCCTCTTTGTCTTTCTACTCGCCGTCATCGTTGTCGGCGTCATCGGAAACTCTCTCATCCTCGTCATCGTCTTCACCCAGAGGAAACATCGAACGACCTCGAGCTGCTACGTCGCCAGTCTTGCTTTAACGGACATCGTGGTGCTTCTTACATGTGGGATTCTGCATCTCGCCCTTTTGATCATTCCCGCTTTCGATCTCGATCTCATCGAGTTTCCGACTAGGATATTCACATGCTTCACATTCATTCATGAGGTAAGTTTTCCATTGATCTTTTCTGACCTTTTTCTTACTCAACATAGTTAGTAAGATAAACTCATGTACCCGAAAAAACTGTTAATAAATACTCGGCCTCTCTTAGCCGAAAAAGCATTTAAAATCTGCTTAGTTGGTATCCTTATCATATTATGAAGCCAAAAATTGTAATCGTTTTAAAATCAACGTTTTAAAATCTATTCAAGAGATTCCTCGTGCAAACTTTGTGCAATTTATATACATTTCAAGTAAAGTTGCCATACAAAGCATGATACACATAATGTATAATTATTGATTGTGTTACCTGACTGCAAAGAAATGCTTTTTGGTAAACGACCAGGCGACTGACGGCTTTTAGTCGTCTCCGAATCTCCAAACGAGTTTGTATTGAGGATTAATGCCTTACTAAAAGACACGGGCGTATTGACTTAGTCTCGAACCCGGGGCCTCTCAATTACGAGACCACTGCTCTACCACTGAGCCATAGCGCCCTCTCCCCATTACTGCCCCTTAATTGCTAGACACACGCTACGCTATGGGTTCCACTGCATTGGAACGTCTCTTGCAACCAGAGATCATGGATCGAAACTCCTTCAGTCTCCACCAGTAGATGACGCAGTTGGCTATCCAGTTGGCACTCAGCATGATCTCTTCGCCGAGAAGATAGCAAGCGTTGTCGTCGTCTTCTCCTATTTCATAGGTATATACATAGCTCAGGATGACCCAGGTGGTGATAGGGTACAACGAAAAGAACACGGACGTTCCAAGGATCATGCAGAACGTCTGCAAGACACGCTTGTTCTCCTTCTTGCGCTCTTCCAGCTGGACATTGCCGTCAGATGACACCCCGGCTATGGAGCGATAGATGACAACGTAACAGATGGATGTTGTTGCTAAGGAGATGATGGTGATGTAGAGCATCAGGGTCCGATAAACCTGCGTGACGGCATAGACTCCGATGGATAACCCTACAGAGAGGGCCCATGTTAAGACACAGGTGACGACACATCGAGTGGTGGTGATGATGTTCTTCACGCCGAAAGGGTCAACCTTGATGGTGATGAGCTGGTAGATAGCTACCAGTAAGATACTCGTGTTGGAAACCATTACTGATGTAGCCATGGTGACGGGGTAGTATGGGATGTTTGTCTGCGATAAAAAAAAATCATATCGAATGCTGTTTATTGTAAACTAACAGATATCAAATATCGAAATGAAAAGATAAAGTCGGAAATCCTATGCCGAAGCCACAATAGTTTAGAGGAAGTCTTAATTACAAACAAATTACCAATACGTAAAGCGGGAAACGTTCTACGGGAATGAGAGGTAAGAGTTTCAGGGTTAAAATTATGAACATTTGTTTAAGAGCAATTAAAAGCCTTGTAAATAATTGACGATAGTTACAGAAGGAAATAGAGTGTGATGCGGGTTTTTTTTTTGTCATTTACCTAGAAGCTTCAACAAAGCTTTGTAAACGTATTACAAAAGTTACGAAAACATTGAACTTGACTAGGAATTTAAATTAAGTGTCATCTCTTCGTCATCATCTTCCTCTTATCATTATCATCTTCTTCTTCCTCTTCCTCTGTTTCTTTTTCTCTTCCTCCTCCTTCTAGTGCTATTATTTACTGTCATTGGCTACACAAGTTTTTTTTCATAAAGATTTATATACATTGATCTATTTTCCAATTACATATTTAAAGGCGTGTGTTACATAATATGATTAAATTGTACGCCCCTATTATAAAGAACGAGGTAATACATTTTCAATACGTCACGACTACATTTCGCCTCCCACCAAACGAGATGCTGCCCCCCCCCCCCAACTAAAGACAATAGCAATATTGTAGCCTTGTCTATAACTGAAATGTGTGAACATTAACGACGTGATACGTAACGAAAGTGATTTCTAGAGACGATGCAATGGATTGTTGAAATCGCCCTCGAGTTAATGTTAGGAAAGACATTGTGATCGTGTGATGATATACATACCCCAACAAGTAACTCGTTTACCACCTGCTGTATAACATTCACCGTTACTCCTGCCAAGTCGGCCAAGGAGAGATTGAACGGGAAGATATGATGACGTCTTCGAAAGCGTGGATGAGAGAAAATGATGATGAGCGTCGATGAGGTCAGTACAAGACCTACCTCAAGCTCTATTCTCACTATGACGAGTAAAATTCGTTCCCAAAATGGAATGCATCCTGCCATTTTGATCTTGGTGGTGATAATTTATGAACCCCCTTCAAAATGTAAAAGCCGTCCTGGGCAATGGATATAGTATTTTGTTTACTGTATAGCGAAACAGTGTTATATTGTTTGATTGAGAACCTGCAAACCGTGAGTTATTTTTCTGCCAAAATAATATTTTGAAGCTAACGAATATTCATATGAATTTGATATCCGTTCCAAACCTTAGCTTACTTTTATTTTTTGGCACAAATAATATTTGCGGCCATAAAATTAAATATTCATATGCATTTGATGTCCAACGCCTCGTTGAAACTATCCATAAAGATATTCTAAAAATGATTATAAAAAAAGATCACATCAGAAGCACGTTCCTTTTTATATCGCCGTAATCATAAATACCATCACTATAGAAACAAAAGGCTGTACATCTTCTTGTAGAAGTCCAAATGAACAGGTGGTGACTCTTTGAACGGACGCAAGTGACGTGGTAGTATTGCAAATCATTACACGCTGTAGCATATCTATCGCAGAGTCAGGTTTTTCCTTGGGTTAGTACACCGAGAAATTCTGATACGTTCCATTGTGCTGAAATTCGCGATAAATTTATCCCCATTAATCGTGGAAACGTGAGTTTAGAAACGCGACCCTGTGACAGTTCTATGCTAATTTCGTTCTTTTTCACAAATTTGTGAATACACCTTTTATAATGGCTCTCAGAAGGCTTTAAAATAAATTTAAAAAGCTATCAAGTTTTGTTTGTTCATTTTATACCAAACTCTCCAAGGGAAACAACGGAGAAACAGAGAGGTTCTGCGTGAAACAACCATTGCAATGCTTTATCGGTCAATTCTGTCAAATTAATTGTTTTCACCGATAGCGGACAAATTAATGAAGAACACTCTATGCAAGGCGGCGTATGCAGGCCTTGGCGTATAAGGGTGGAGGGCTTACGCACGAGCTCATGGTAATCCATATATTACAGATCATTAACCTTCATCATCGTGGTATAGGGGGCGGGACGCTAATTTTTTATTCCCAAACAGGTTTGCCAATGCTAATATTTCCGGTCATCTGATTGGCTGATATGTTACGACCCCCCCCCCCCATCCCCCTTCAATTGTGTAAGGGGTTCACCCCCCCCCCCCCCCCAGAAAATTTGAAAAAGTGCAACAACAAACATGTATAGCAAATACTGACTAAAGATTGCAACACACGTTAAGTCTCTGGAGGGCCCAAGAGTGCAGCGTTAAGCCTAATAAAATGCAAAAATCTTCTCGCTTCCTCGCATAATATCTTTCAAAATGTACAAGTAAATTTTGTAGAAAATCTGTACTCCGTTGGTATCACCGTGATACCAACGGAATACAGATTTTCCATCGCATTTCGTCGTCCCCCCCCCCCCCCCTGGTCATGAAAAGAAATTGCCGCCCCTGATCCAGTGGTCCATCAGCTGCAATCATCTAATTATTCGTTTGTCGCGTTTTACTGTATAATGCCTCAGTCACACCAAGAAACCGATACCAGACTGACAACAAACCAATGAAACAATTACATTACACCGAGTGGCCACAAATTGGTCGGTTTGGGGTCGGTGTGGAGTCGGCTCGGGGTCGGTGTTGAGTCGGTTTGAGGTCGGTGTTGAGTCGGTTTGGAGTCGGTTTGGAGTCGGTGTTACGGTCGGTTTGGGGTCGGTGTGGAGTCGGTGTGGAGCCGGTTTGGGGTCGGTGTGGAGTCGGTTCGGAGCCGGTGTGAATGGGGTATCAGGCTAGGGGCCCCAGTAGGATGAAATTAATTAATTTTCAATCATTTCATTTTTTCGAGTAGTAAATTGGCGTGGGTTGATAAAGAATACCTGAATCAATATTGTAAGGTTTGCTGGTGAAACACTCGCAAATTAAGGACCTTGTCCTTGCATCGCAATTATCCACGATTCTAATTCTCTTTTTTTTGTTAATAATAAAAATTGTTGCTCATACAGTCACGAACGAAGTTCATAGCATGTTAATATCAAACATAAGCGAGGGGGAGGAGCAAGGAACCTACTTTTCCGAATGTTCTTTATTTCATGAAATATCTGGGGAAAAACTTTCTTAAATGGGGGGGGGGGCAAAACTTGTTTTGTTTTTAATTTTCAAAAATCACATTAAAGGCAATTTCTGTACCCTATTGTTTTGCCTACAGAGATCATGAGATCATGCACATTTCCCTGCCTGACGCGATAGGCTGTTGAGATTATCCTAAACAATATTAATATTTTTTTTTAAAAGCTGGCACTTTAGGCATCCCAGATCCAGCTCCTCTTCCCCATGATGATGAAGTCTTTGCGACCGTGTCTTATGAAAATATAAAGGTAACAAAGGTGAACGCTTATCCTAATTTAATCTATCTATATTTTTTTGTTCTTACATTTATTTCACATATTTAAAAAAGGATGGCCCATTCTATAAAATTTGGTTTTCAATGGGGTCCTTGAATCCTTGAATTGAATCGATTTTTTTTTTCTGCAACATATAAATCAAATTATCTATCTATGTTCCATAGCTTGGAGGTCGTTGGGGGCGCCAATGATATGGACGTTGAGACAAAGGATATCCATAACTTTCTGTCTACAGCTTTTCGGGTTAACTGCTTTAAATGATGTACATTCACGTCCACTGCTTCAGCCCATGTGTTAGTTTTCTGACTGATAAATCTAATTACTTTCCTTTATTTTTCAGGTGTCTAAAGGAGTGACGTGTTATATGTTAGTTGCCCTGACTATCGACCGATACTTGGCCTTTGTTCATCCGTTATCCTCTATAAGACTTCGAACTATCCGGCATGCCGTGATCGTCAGCGTCGCAGTGTGGCTAGGTAAGTAACATTCAATTACCCGCCAAACCGGTGATCCGACATTTGTACCTCCCATTGAACAGAGTACCAAAGTGTGACGTCATGCTGGCCAAATTGTCAAGGTTTCTGGTTCCAAGCCGGGGTTCCAAGCAATTTTATGTTTAATAATGGTGTGGTGATCACACCAGCTCCAAACACTGAATTTGCCCCGCTCCAGCCCGTTGCTCGTTTGATTTCGCGGTGAACCTCATGCCCATTCAGGCTCTGTTGTGTCGAACCATTAACACGGACGACGAGTTAATAAACAGTTAGCACTTTGGTACTCTAAAAAGCAAAAAGGGAAAATTAAAAGAAAAAGAGAGAGAGAGGGAAAAGGATAGGGGGTTGCTTTAAAGAAGAGGACGGTTATAATAGGGCCCCTTCCTCTCAAAATTTCATCGATGGCCTTTCCAATTTACATTTCATCACTCACCGAGTAAGACTGCGGACCCCTCCCCTAATGAAAGTACAAACTACACTTTTTAAGAGCTTTTTCAACATCAGAACTTCTTATCAATGAGACGGCGTATAAAGTTTAGGACAAGTACAATGATATATGTATCCGTTGTTCTTATAGCCCCTCTATAGTCAGTGGCGTACGCAGGATTTTTTCAAGGGGGGGGGGTATAAAATCGGGCCCAAAATTTCGCAACGACTCAGGAAAATTTGAAAATCGCGCCGGCCAAAAAGTCGCTCAGTGGGGGGGGGGGGGGGGGGGGGGGGGGGGGGGGGGGGGGGGGGGGAAGCGGACACTTTTTTTTTTGTTTGGTCTCGAAATTTGAAAAATTGACATTTTGTTCCGTTGGGGGGGGGGTAAGGTAACCTTTTTTAGGTCAACCATTGGCATAATTTTTTTTATTTATTTTTTTTTTATTACAAAAAAAAATTAAACAAAATAAAAGGGGGGGGGGGGTTTCATAAAAATCATACACAAAACATACACATTAAAAAAAACTCAAGGGGAGGGTTAACCCCAACCCCCCCCCCCTCCCCTGCGTACGCGCCTGTCTATAGTGTTGGGAGCCCCAAATTCGCCCAAAAAAAATGGTAAAATTTAACTTAAATGGTATCAAAATATAAAAGAGGATGTCATTTGTCAGACACGCTTCTGCTAAGATTTTCCCCCCAAAGAATGTATTTGAAGAAAAATATTGATAAAAGAATTCAAAATTTTAGTTTTATATTGTACGCAGAAAACATAAATGTTGTATTCTTTCAGTAATATTCGCCTTCAAAGACATTTATTTAGAGAATCCTTGCAGAAACGTGTGTTAGATGACATCCTCTTTTAAATTATTTTACTATTTAAGTGACATTTTGCCATCAAATTTTTAGGCTCCCAAAACTTTAGAAGGGCTTTAAAGTCGTCTGGTGACTTTGGCGATTGAAAACAGCAAAATTATTTGAAGAGAGGTATTTCTCATATCTATAAACATCAGAAGAGAACATAAAAACAGTTACCCTTTTTGTATTGTGCATAATATCATTCTCATATTTTGTACATCCATCTTTGCTTGCATTCGATGTAGGTTCCTTGCTTTACTGCGTAATCATCGAGGCCCTCAACCAGGTAATCGACGAACTGCCCGTCTTCCTAATCTTCTTCCTTACCGAGTACGTCGCCCCTCTCGTCCTCAGCACGACATGTTACGTCATCATCATCCATAAGATGTGGCGACCGGGTCCGCGCGTCGTTTCATTACGACGAGGAAGCAACCAGAGCGACGATCACCGGCGACAGAAAGTCGGCCTCCTGCGAATGGTTCTCGTCGCCCTGATCGTTTTCGCCGTCAGCGTTGGTCTTCACCACGCCATACGTTTTTATGTCATCGTCTCTGGGCGCGGAGAAAGCGAGAACCACTGCAAAATATCCCTGTGGACGTTTTTATCGGATATCGCCCTCTTCGTGAACAGTGCGTTGAATCCGTTTGTCTACGGACTGACGAATTCCCTCTACGCCAGTGCATTCAAATCAATGTTGTGTTGCTGCAACAAAGGGCCTAAAAATTTGGTGTCTGCTTTAAAGACAATACCCGAGATTTACCGAAAGTTATCGGGGGCGTCAGCTACCTTGGGCAAGACAGAGTCAGTGGAACTGAGTGATGTGAAGGATTATCTAGAAAACCCTGTCGTGGACATAGAAGATTATTCAGGTTCAGACGTTTCGTTTGAAGTAGTTTGATGTTATAACTCTATGCAAACTATATACCCCGTCCCCATTGGTGAAGAAGAATTATAAACAAACACCTAATGTTAGGATAAAAATGCTACATTTATGAGGAAAACCTCCCCAATTTTGAATTGATTTCTCATCTATAATGACTATAAACCAATATAAATTGTTTTTATTATATTCGCAAGAAAAAAAATAATGTTGGCAATTTTCTGCTCCTCCCCTTCCCAATGAGTAACCCTGTAAATGGCCGGGGGGATTCTGGTTATAATATTTTCTAAGCGAAATCAAAGAAAATGTATCATTTTTATCTAAAGCTATCTTGAGATATGCTAGATTTTAGAAATCATTTTAAGCGTTGGGAGCCCCTAATTCGCCAAAAATGTTGATGGTAAAATTTCATTTAAATGATATCATAAAATGAAAAAGGATGTCATTTAAGAAAAACACCTGCAGAGATTTTTCCTCAAAAAATGTGTTTGAAGACAAATATTGATAAAAGAATACATAATTAGGGTTTTCCGTTGTACGGAGAAACCTGAATTTTGTATTTTATATCAATATTAGACTTCAAACACAATTGTTTTAAAAATCATTGCAGAAATGTGCCTTAAATGATATCTTCTTTCAGATTATGATACACTTAAAGTGAAATTTTGCCATCAAATTGTTGGGGCTTCCAACTGATGAACCTGGAAGGAAACCATTACTTTTCCTACCAATTATGACAGTTATGAACGCGTTATGATAAAATGGATATAAGATTCACCATAACGTTGGCTGACATTGTGTGGGATTTCATTTGAAATGAAAAGAATCAATTAATAAAAAAAGTATAACATATATCAAAGTTGTAAAACTTATGCATAATAATGATGATAATAGTTATGATAATAACACTGATAACACGCAGAATCAATTGAAACAATGGTGTATCGATTTTCTAGTAAAAAAAAAAACACCATACACCTGTTTCTCATAGTATCTCATTAATATAATTATGTCACTCCCCGACCAAGATTGTTGTCGTAAATGAAAGCCAGTTGTTCTGTTTTAAACCTATGTTTTTAATGGTGTTCTTTTTATATAATTGTAAATCGCGTTTGTTTGTGTATATTTTGTCACCATTCATCTGTCAGTGTATTACATGTGTGTGTATATATATATATAATACCAGTTTACACAAAAAAATAATAAAATCATTGCACTAATGAGTATTGATCAATGTCTTTTGCAGTTTCATGTATATGCTTACCCCACTTCCGAAACAATAGACCTAAATATAACCGGTACGTTAAATTTACATGTAGAAACAAACACTGTCTTGATCATCTTCGTTATTTATTTATTATCAGAAAGCCTATTACCGTTTAATCAGAAAAACAAACTTCTGGAAACACTGACGTAAACAATAAGTCATGGTTATAATATATTTAGTATCGTGTAAATACGGGGAGAGGGCAAGAAGCGAGCCTTTAACCCCAAAACTTGAATACTAAGACAATGGAAATGGGCGAGCTAGGAGAGAGGGAGAAAGGGAGAGAGAGAGAGAGAGAGAGAGGGGGTGGTAGAGAGAGAGAGAATGGGGGAGAGAGAGAGGGAGAAGAGTAGTAGAGAGAAATGAGAGTGAGAGACGAGAGTGAGAGAGGGGGAGAGAGAGAGAGCGAGAGAGGGTGAAATAGAAATAGAGATAGAAATAGTGAGAAAGAGAGAGGGGAGAGAGAGATAGAGGGGAGAGGGGGAGGGTAATAACCTTAACATTATAAGATGATGGCAAGAGCACCTCCTACGTTTACTGGAATAAAAGTAAGATACTAAAATATGATCTGTACCATTCTCTCACTCGACAAAGGAGTTATTTGAGAAGTTAAAAAGTATGAAAAGGACTTTCAAGAAGTCACCCCATCAGGGAGAATTTGAATATCATTCTGCATCACCCATGGAAGTGTGTGGATGATACATTAGCATTAATAATAATCCGTTTTTTATATAGCGCTCAATACACCGATCCAACGATGTGCCTAAGCGCTATATATTTACCTGCATTTAACACCTGGGTGGAGAGTAGCAAATGCAGATAAATATCTTGCCAAAGGATATTAGTGCCGTGTCGGGATTCGAACCCTCGACCTTCGCATCAACAGTCAAGCGCCTTAAACCACTCGAACACGACACTCCCACATGCATTAACATGCTCCCACATTAACTCACCGATAATGGTCAAGGATGGACAATACATGAATTAGACACAAAATATATAATCAATCAGAGCACAGAAATGTGCCCGTTGAATATTTTTTTTCTTCGGAATTTGGCACCCCCGCCCTTACAGAAATCCCGGATCCGCTTCTGTAAGTGTTAATCAAATGATGGTGGGTGTATATTTGGGTTATACCAGGGCAATCTATACTGGTTGGCCCTACCACCCCCCCCCCCCCTCATACACACACAAACACACACACGTGCGTGCGCGCACATACACATTCCCCTCTCTTTTCTCTCTCTCTCTCTCTCTCTCTCTCTCTCTATGTCTCTGTTTGTGTCTGTCTTTCTCTATCTGTCTTACCATCCCTCTTCCCCCCTCTTCTCTCTCCTTTTTTCAGTTTCTTTTTATCCCTTATTCATCTCTGGTCCTCCTCCTCCACCTCCTCCTCTTTCTCCCCAAGCACCTAGCTCCTCCACCTCCTCCTCCTCCTCCTCCTCCTCCTCCTCCTCCCTCCATTCTCCAAATCTCCGATTTTCAAATCCCCACCGAATAATTTCATGTGCGGACGGTGACAGCCTATGGCTATAATATTATGTGCAACTAGTCGTTGAATGAGGAGGGCAGAACATATAATTGATCGATCTCACAAAAAACAACATACACTCACTGAAAATCAATAAATCGAAATCATCCTCCGTCACGGCTTAAAGCTGTTTCAAAATATAATCAATACTTGTGACAAAATCTCAAACCATAATGATCCTTTGTTAGATTTTGGAACGGTATTTTATATTGATTCGGTGAAAGTTTAAAAAATCCTCTGTATGGCCATGCATTATGGCTCTAGGCATGGGCAAACAGATTTTTTTTTTTTTTTGGGGGGGGGGGACCGGGGGGAATTCAATGAATTATTGATAATTTGTTGCATTTTCTTTGTTTTTTTAATTTGTGGTAACTGCCCCCTATCCTAGCCCCCGCTGCGTACAGTCACGGTTCAGTGGCAAAGCAATGGCCTCGTAACTGTGAGGCTCCAGGATCAAAACTGTGTCGATGTGCTATATTAGTGCCCTTTTGTGGGTCATTAATCCGCTTTACTGTAATGTATGACTAAAGGGCGTAGGTCCTCTAGTTGATAAGCATAGTAGCATACACATGCTTTAGCAGTCGCGCAAAACAAACACTGGCAAATTATTATTCAATAAAATCTGAGAATGTATACTATTATCTAGATCTATTAGGAATAAATCATTGTCCCAATAATCCCATAAATTGGGGTTTTAAAACAAATATGCCAACGTTATGAGCGACAGTGTGATTTCTAGATAGACGGCGCTATAAAAAGGCCTATTATTATTATTATTATTATTATTATTATTATTATTATTATTATCGTGCTCATCATTAGTATTGTCCATGATTTGTATTTCGCTGTCATTAGGGACTTTTAGATTTGCACGTCGACAGCTTTGACTGCAACGTGTGACGTCATTTTAAGGCACTGCGCATGCGTTACGTCGTCTCAGTCGGCGATCGAGAATGCGTCAACCTTGATTTTCCTAAATCTAGTACATACATACATACATACATACATATTGATATTTATATAGCGCCTTTACATGCTCAAGGTACTAGTATGCCGCGTGCGCATAAAATATACAGTTCCTCAGGTAGACAAAGGAACATCCCTTCCCTGCTATTATGTAAAAATGTGTAGAACAGGTGTCACATGCATATTCACCTGTTCTACACATTTTTACATAATAGCAGTGAAGGGATGTTCTTTTGTTGAAGGTAGAATGAGGAACTGTTTATTTTGTCCTCTTTCTTTCTCCATGATGTCCACACTTGTTACTTCCTGCATGCATGTATATTGTCGAGTGCAATCTAAAAGATTTCTAATTGTAGTCAGCATGGGCAGTTAAGTACGTTGACACGCATGATCAGTCGTCGTTCGTCGTGTTCTCGTCCACTCCATCTGAAAGTCCCTATTGTCGCCATCTTGAGACGGGATATTACCGCAATCCCAATAATGCGTGGAAACAAAATGTTCACAGATATCTTAATCTAAGTTCAGTAGGATATGTGTCAATAAATATGTAACGTAATCAATTCTGTTCGCTTCTTCTTTCTTTTCATATTTGTCGTAGGACACTAGTGCTTGACAGACATATAAACCACTATGATTGATGTATCTCGGTAATTGACACCTAAAACTAGCAGACCCCGGCCTTCCAGAATGGGTATTACTTTTCAGTTGAGTCATGATTATAAACAGAGTTGTTATTTTGAACCACATGGTAGGATAATGTTTAAAGAGCATTTTCGAGCAAACTATCTCCTTATATTATCCCACCTTGGTTTTTTCCTTTTCCTTATTTTCCCCTGACCCTCACCTCCCCTTCACCTCTTTTCTTCTCCATTCGATTGACTACAGGGACGGATCTAGCTTTTTGCTAAGGGGGGGTTTGACCAAAATAATGACGATGCAGAGCATCGTCCACGAGCCGCGAAGCGGCGAGCCGATTTTTTTTTGGGTGTTTATTTGAACCCCGTAAGTGATGTTTTCCTGGCATCTATTAACACAATGGAGACCATAAAAAGCAGTGCATGATAACGTCTTTTTAAATCAAGTAACAGTTTAATACACAGTTATATCCAGAGTTATCATGTGTTTGGTTAAGTTACCAGATGAGTTGAATATCTTCTCACAATATTTGCACTTGAAAGGGTTTCTCTCCAGCGTGCGTTTTTTTTTCTTTCTTTTTTTCTTTTTTTTCCCCTTTTTTTTTTCTTTTTTTTTCTGGGCCGCCCAAGGGGGGGGGTTTAAACCCCCTAAACCCCCCCCCCGTAGATCCGCGCCTGTGACTATATATGTATTGTCCGAGCCAGGCGCGTACGAAGAATTTTTTCAAGGGGGGGGGGGGTTTAACATTTATAAATCGGGCCGAAAATTTCGCAACGACTCAGCCAGCCGCTGAATAAGCGGGGGGGGGGGGGGGGGGGGGGGGTACGAGGACACATTTTTTTTTTGGGGGGGGGGTCTCGAAATTTGAAAATTTGACATTTTGCTCCGTTGGGGGGGGGTAAGGTCAGTTTTTTTAAGTCAACCATGGGAATTTTTTTTTTTATTTTTTTTAATAAATAATAAAAAAAAAAATTAAAAAAATCCAAAGGGGGGGAGGGGGGTGGGGTTTAGAGAAATTTAGGGGGGTTTACACACAAAAAATTACTAAAGGGGGAGTTTAACCCCCAAACGACCCCCCCCCCCCCCCCCCCCCCCCCCCCCCCCCACCCCCCCCCCCCCCCCCCCCCTGTGTACGCGCCTGGTCCGAGCTAGCATTAATAACTCAATGCTAGTAGTTATCGATTGACTTTATCGATTGACTTACTATACGAGCTAGCATGCTCACGTATCCTCACGCAAAGCGGTAGGCATTATCTAATCAGACGCAGAGGCACGTTTCTAAAAAAAAAAAAAAAAAAGAGAGCCATAACGTAATTATGTGCGTTGCTGAGGTTGCTAATTTTCATACTATTGCATTCTGTATTGTGGGCATCCACTAGGGTTAGATTTGTGTCAATTTGTGCCTCTACTACTGATTGAGTAATGACTATACCGTTTTAATGACCTTTTTTTAAAAGCCGGTCTGCGGTCTGTTTTGGGGTGAATTTGCAGACGTTCCCTGCAAGATGTCCTGTCAACTTCCGACGTTATCTCTTCTTCGCATCGTTCTATTGGTGTTCATATCGATGGTGATTGTATTCATAGAGATATCTTCGAAGTGGCTGCCACATCGAAACTTCAAACATGATCATCCCACTTACAAGGTAAGTCCCTATTACATTATTTAACGTTCTTGCCGCCTGAAAACAAAACATGAAGGATATGTCCGTCGGACATTATTAATTGAAGTGACTGTCACATCCATGTATAAGGTCAGTCCCCCGAATATTACCTTAGTTCGTGCTACTAAAAAAAACTTTGGAAATTATCTAGGAGTATAAGTCCAACGAATATTACTTAAACTGCTTGCCTACTTTTTAACTTTAAAAACCCCACTTAGGTTAAATCCCCTGTGCTTTGCTTGCAGTGCTTGCTCACCGCTTTAAGACTTTAAAAGGTAATGGAGAAAATGTCCCTCGAACATTGATTAAAGTGTTTGCAACTTCAAGACTTTAAGAGATAATGGAGGATGTTTTACCTGAACATTCTTTGGCATTAGTGCAACTTCCAGGCTTTACAAATCAATAAAGGGGCAGGTCCCTCGTAGTGCATTATACAAACTTGGAACGCTTGAAAATTCAAGACTTTAGAAAGCATCTATAGGATAAGCATCTCGAATATTACTTGGAGCTTTTGCAACTTCAAGGCCTTAAAGATTAATTACCTAGGATAAGTCCATCGTACTTGACATAGAGTCAGGTCGCCAGCCACATCCGAACTCAGAGGCATACCTCTACCTAATTGACCGCCTGGGGGGGAGGCAGTGGCGTACCCAGTATTTTTTCAAGGGGGGGGGGGGGGGTTTCAAATCGGGCCCAAAATTTCGCAACGACTCAGCCAGTCGCTGAATAAGCGGGGGGGGGGGGGGGGGGGGGGGGGGGGTAAGCGTACACTTTTTTTTTTTAGAGTCCCCAAAAAATCGCAACGACTCAGCCAGTCGCTGAATAAGCGGGGGGGGGGGGGGGGGGGGGGGGGGGGGGGGGGGGGGGGTAAGAGGACACTTTTTTTTTTTTGGTCTCGAAAGTTGAAAATTTGACATTTTGTCCGGTTGGGGAGGGTAAGGTCACCTTTTTAAGGTCAGCCATTGGCAATTTTTTTTTTTATTATTATTTTTTTTATTATTTATTAAAAAAAAAAAAAAAAAAAAAAAAAAATCTCAAAAGGGGGGGGGGGGGGTTTCCAAAATAACATACATAAAATATACACATAAAAAAAACTCGGGGGGGGTTTAACCCCAAAACCACCCCCCCCCCCCCCCCCCCCACCCCTGCGTACGCGCCTGGGGGGAGGTATAGGTCCCATCTTAATTCGATCGATATAGCTAAATGAAGCCCACCTATTAGGTTTCCTGGATGGCGTACGGGCGATCTCATAATGATTGGGGGGCGGGGGGTGGGGGATGCAATTCTTTTAAAATTGTGCCTATATATTTCATGATTTTCCGTGTTCAATCGTACACTTATTGATTTATAACTACGATCATATGATACAGTGGCCACGTTTGTTTTTAAAGGACATACATTATACAGAATGGAATGATAAAAACAAACAAAAAACAAGATAGTGATTAAAACTACAATGGCAATTTATAAGAGCATGTGGGATAGGCAGAAAGGAGGGATTCCGTATATGAAAGGCTACCCCTCAACACACAAATACAGGGGGGAGAAGGAAAAAAGAACAGAACCTCATGTACAATCAGAATAAAAATAACTACAAAAGTTTCGAAGTTGCCCTTGCTATTTTACTGTTTATTGTACTTATTTAAGAAAAATTGCTTATATTAAATAATGAAACGATTGAGAGTTTTTGATTTCATAATATCCAGAGGTATACTATTCCATACTACTGGTCCTTTAAAAATAATGTCCGTCGTTTTTATTTTTTGGGGAGGTGACAATTTAGGGAATTTCTAGTATAGCAATAATGCACATCACAATTCACATTAAATCATGTTGACAACAAAATTGGCAGATGAACATTAAAACATTAAAACTGCTATATAAAAATTCTGCGTATCGATTACATTAAAAACTCCAAGTTTACAAAATAAAGGAATACAGTGAGCATAATATTTAGAATGAGTTATAATGCGTTTTGCTTTCTTTTGAAGCTTAAGTAATCTTTCCGTATCTTTTCATTACAATTTGCCCATACGACCACACAGTGATTAAAATACGGTGATATTAAAGTATAATACAACATTTTAAAAATGTTTTTTAGGGATAAAAGTGAACTTTATATAAAATACCGATATTTTTGCTATCTTATTGCACATCACGTTTATATGACATGCCACTTCAATTTATGATTAATTACAATACCTAAAAACTTCAGATTATCTACATGTTCAAAATGATGGTCATTTACTCGTTAATGAACGTTGTTAGAATCAAAACTTTTGTTTGTACAAACCATATATTTAACTTTATCGCAATTTAAAACCAAAATATTATAAACGTTTCAAGAATTCTTGCTTAAAAACATCTTGTAAAACCCGTCCATCAGAATGAGACATAAAAAACACTTGTGTCATCAGCAAGTCAAATAAACATATAGTTATCAGAAATACTGCACATGTCATTAACATAAATAAAAGAGGTCGAAGGATGGATCCTTGATGCACTCCACATCCAAGTATACCGGTATTAGACTTAACTGTATTTATTTGTAAAAATTTGGTTCTATTTTCTAAATAATTTTCAAACCAAAATAAAGTTACTCCACCAATACCATAATGATATAATTTTTCAAATATAATAGTATGATCTAACGTATCGAATGCTTTACTTAAATCATAAAAAGGGCCCATTAAGATAATGATCATTTCAAATGTTTTCAAAACGTTAAATAAAATGCATAATTGGCATGCAGTGACAATGTTGTACTTATTTAAAAACATAAAAAGGCGATTATATACTGCTCTTTCATTTTTTTTTAAAAGAAAACAGTGAATAGGCCTTTAGATACATGTCGATAATTGGAAACATTATCTTTAGTACCATTCTTTAAAAAAAGGAATAACCTTTGCAAGTTTTAATCGATCTAAACCTCTAGACAAAGAAATATTAAATATCGCACTTGAAGGACATCATGAACAACTTTTTTCAATAATTGAAAGAAAATATTATGATCCAATGACCATAACATATATAGAAAATACATACACTAACAAAACTGACAAGGTTTGTATAAAACGATTGAGAAACATTGCATTCATTTTGCCTTTTAAAGATACGTCCGATTCGAGAATGTCCCGAATTGTACCCTTGATCTGGTCATTTTACAAGAGTATGTATGTGTGTGTGTCTGTAACGTGTGTTTTTACAAACGTGAATCAGTCATATATATGATTGTTTACGTCTGGGGACCATCCGAAAGACGTGACTCGACAGTCTCGAACCAGGGTCCACTGAGTCAGTATGTAGGCAAAGACAGTGAGTTGATGACCATACCAATGACATTACCGCTAGACCGACTCACATCTCCCCAAGACAGTTAATTATAACGTTTTATTTTGTCTGTAGAAAATGGTGTTCACCAAGCCAAATGAAACTAGTTTAAACTGGTCAAACGACCCGTTCACGTGTTTGTCACAAAGCATTAGCAAAAACATCGCGCCGACCAGCAATGTCTTCTCAACGGCAGAGGTCATCAACGCCAAGGCATCGCATAAGGTCAACGACACTCTACAGATCCGCATCACAGCAAGAGATGTAAACAACGTCATCAAGACTTGCGGAGGTGACTACTTCCGGGTCAAACTATACACTGCAGAAACACAGTCATCCTGGAGCATTGACGTCACAAATGACCTGGGAAATGGTTCCTACATTGCTGATGTGACGTTACGATGGCCTGGGAAGGTTGCAGTGATTGTGACGTTGGTTCATCCCAGCGAGGCTTTGAGGGTTCTGCGAAGGATTCGAGACTTAGAGCCCGGTAGGACGGTCTTCAAGGGGCGCTACCTGAGAACTCTTGACTCTGGGATGGACATCTCTGAAGATGTAATGTGCCTACCAAAGGTCATCCGTAATGTAAGTAGTTCATCTCTCTTTCTCTCTCTCTCTCTCTCTCTCTTTCGACATTATAGCCTTCGTTCTGAGATGTACAACAATGAAAATGGAACAGAATAGTGCAAACCATTTTGACAAATATTTTAAATATAATTCTTGAGTATTATTTTGTTAATTTTCCTCGTCGTACAGCCCTCGACGAAGGCTATGATGTCGAAAGCTTGGCTTCAATAAACAACGGTGATTGTATCCACTTTTCCACAACGTAAAGAAGTCACGTCATGTTCCACAGTAAGATTTTACAATTAAATATTTATCTACACATACATTTATATGTATCGGCCATCTATATTCCCTTTTTGTGTAAATAACTGCCAGGGTTACAAAAGCTGTTTCTGGAATGTATCGTGTAAGACTCGCGACCTTTAGTACAAAACTATGGGGGCCCTTAATGGGGGAGGGGGATTCACTACTGTCTTAAACCTTTGCTTTTCTGAAGAAGAAAACAAATGAAAGCCCTATAGAGCAGAATTAAGATATCTTGCCAAAATCTGAATTATTGCTAAATTTATGCATATCAATTATGAGTCTACTTGTACGTACGTATATCAAATGTATGTGTATCAATTGTATATTAGTGTACGGTATAATGTGTATCAATTGTTGGTGTGCGCGTGAGAGTGTGTGTGCATGTATGTGTATTAATTAGAAAGTATCAATTTGTTTCGTTTTCCTTAATGCTGACAGCATTCTCTTTGTAACTTCACGGATGAAAGATTAGGCTATCCATGGTTCTGTGTAGCGCCCTCTAAAAAGTCTTTATCGTGTGATGACTGGAAGCTGTACGTAAATGATCCCAAATTAGGCGAGAAGTACACGATGAGGGCCGTCAGCAAGGAAGAGCTAAACATTTTCAAGATGTAAGTTATGCTTTTATTATGTCATCCTATTTGCAAAGAAAATGCTCGGTTGATTCATAGCTAGCATCAGGGGCGTACGCAGGATTTTTTCAAGGGGGGGGGGGGGGGGGGGTTTAAAATCTGGCCCAAAATATTTTGCTCCCGAAAATTTGAAAATCGCGCCGGCCGAAAAGTCGCTCAGTTGGGGGGGGGGGGGGGGGGGGGGGGGGGGGGGGGGGTAAGCGGACACTTTTTTTTTTTTTTGGTCTCGAAATTTGAAAATTTGACATTTTTTTTCGCTGGGGGGGGGGTAAGGTCACTTTACGTTAGCCGTGGGCATAATTTTTTTTTTTTTTTTTTTTTAATTTTTATTTAAAAAAAAAACAAAAAAAAAACAAAAAAAACACAAAGGGGGGTTTTTAGTTTTTTAGGGGGGGTTACACACATAAAAATACCAAAGTGGGGGTTTGAACCCCCCCCCCCCCCCCCCCCTGCGTACGCCCCTGGCTAGCATGACAGAATAATCTAGACAGCGGAAGTCGCATCTGATTAGTCACTCATTAATGACATTGATTCTCTTTCCAGATAAATCAATTCAATTTCATTTAATTAAGTTTAAAAAAAACATTACATATAACAATCAGATATAATACACAAAATAAACAAACATATGGAAAATGAACTGAATAGGCTTCAATCTGAAAGGAAACATAATCCTTAAATAAAAGTGGACCCGTTTTTATAATAAAAAGTATGACAATTGCCATAAGGAGTTAATTGTCCGGGGGTAGTTACCCTGGTGTTTGATGTCAGGGATGAATTGTCTTTATTCTCATTCCAGATGACTCTGATTCTTGTCTTTACCCACCTAACCGTACCAGCATCGGCCAATGAGACAATTCCCCTCTGAACATTAACCCCCCGGGCAACTATCCCCGGTCAAATACCTCCCAAGAGCAATTTTATATAATTCAAAAAGTACCTTTATGTGGAAGGGGGATCCCAAACCAATTTACATCCCCCCCCCCCTCCTCCTGCTCTCGTCACTTCCTTGTTCCTTGTGGAGACCTCGTCCCCAGCGATAATCTCCTTGTAATTATCCGGGGGGCTAATTTTCCTGGGAGTAAATGTCCTGGGGTAATTGTATTTCAGGGAATTGCCCTTAATAGGCCTTGCTAATATAAAATCATAACATATTATGTTATACAGGGCCCGCTGGAAGAGCAGTTTCATAACTGAAGTGGCTACCCTGGGTAAATAAAACGTTATTATTATATTATTATTATTATTATTTTCATAACACGGTGATTTTGCGATGTGTTTTTTTTCAATTAAAAACACATGATACATATTCTTGAACGCGTGCTCATCACATCATAAAAAAAAGTTTTGTTCTTTTAATTGCAGACATAAGTTGCCTATCAAACACCCCCTCCTCCCCTCAACGTAGTTGGGGACTCTAACAGTAAGTATAATGATCTTTCATTTTGAGAGAGTAATTTTGCATTGAAATAAGTTCCTGCATTAAAAAAAACCTAGGGAAAACGCGTAGTGAAATAAATCAGTTGCAAATATAATAGTCTTTTACTACAAAAGATAGAATGAATATTGGAATGCCAATATTTAGCTTTTGTTGATTAGTTTCGGGTTTCATGAGGTCTTGGGAAAGGGTCGAGAGTAATAAAGTTTCTTTACGGGATATTATCACATCATATACGCGTATACTATAGTATAGAGGTGTTGTTCATAATTGCACAAGTTTACAATCCATTGTAAAATTTTTTTACTTCTAAAACCCTACAGGATGGAAGAAAAGCGTGTTTGCCTATCAAGATTCTCTACCTTCCTGCAGACCAGGACAACACTTACACAACCCTTCTCCTTCGGGCTTCTACAGCAATAACACCTGGTTTTCAGATCAATGCAAACTCCGTCGATTTACCAAAACAGATGTCTTACAGTGCCTGCAGAACAGAGCAGTTCATATTTTTGGCGACTCCACTGCTAGACAGTTCTTTTGGGAGTTTGCCGATAACTACAAACCTAATATTGTGGCCGGGAATATACCAATAGATTTACGTAAGGGTTTAGTTAGGCCTTTATATGCTAAGGGTGCTAAGTTTAACATCTCAATAGATTTCAAATTTCACGGCTTTCCTAATCGTCCATCGGATTTTATAAGCAAGGAGACGATCACTTACATTGTCAATGAATTAGACGGTCTCAAAGTGGACTCTAGGTCGGTTATCTTGATTTGCGTTGGAACACACTACACGACATATCCATTAGAGATGTACGAAAAGAGAATGAGAGATATCAAGGAGGCTGCTCAGAGACTACACAAGAGAAGTCCTCAAACATTGGTAGTCTTCAAGAGCTCAAACACCCGAGAATATAATAACCGCCTTCATCAGTTGCACAACAGCGAGTGGTATATTGTGACGTTGGACCTAGCGTTGAGGGAGGTATTGAAGGATTCTCCAGAACTGGCCTTCATTGACGCATGGGATATGACCATAGCTCAGAATTCTAAAGACAGTGTTCATCCCCGTCAAGCAGTTCTCTCAAATCTGATTAATAATTTTCTTTCCTATATTTGTCCTGATGCGCCGAGTCCTCTATAAAACCATTTTTAACTAAGGAATGCTTAATTTGGTTTATTATTAATCATTAGTTTGATTTCGAATTAGGTATAATAGTGGGTTCTTATACAGTAATTAATTCCTACCAGGTAACCGTTTCCCTCACCTGGGTGGAAAGTGGCATATTTAGATTAATAAATTGGACTTTGGTGCCGCGGTGACCCGGGACGCGATCAACAGTCCGGTGACATATCGACTAGACCACGACATTCCTCCAGAAAGAAATCCTTACACTTAATGGCGCCCTTTCATGGCATGGGTAGTTCACATTGAAATTGGTTGTAAATAGAAGAAGCAAAAGTAGATAAACAGATCAATTGGGGTTCAGCCAGATGGTGTGAAGAAAAAGCATAAAGGTAGGTTTCATTGTTTGAGATTGTAATCGGTGAAACACAAATTGGCAACTCTGTGGCATAGACACTTTCAGGAATTCTCCCGTCGCCTACATAACGATTAATGTGCCAGGCTAGGGGTGTCACACAAATATTTTGTATGCATTACTTTGTTTTGTTTGGAACCGGAGTGTTACTCTTTTTTGTTGACGAGGTGATGCTGGAGAAAATCGGGTTTCCTTTTTTTTTACGAATAAGGTGTACACCTTATTACTGGCCATTCTAACCATGGAACCTGAGTTTCGAATTCACAAACTCTTGATGGAAAGTCAAGTGAACGACCGACATCCCCGCGAGGATTCTATCTCCACTAGCATGTTCCAGGGTCCCATTTCATAATATTAGTCATCAATAGCAACCGCCGGAAGTTACCAAATCTGCTCACAGCCAATCGAATTCAATGATTTCAGTAGCTTATAACCATGACTTCGATTTTGTTATTGATAACAAGGTTTGTGAAACATGATACCTTGCACACGATCGCAAACTACTCTCGAGAGATCAAGTCCAATATTAATATTCTACGGTATATCCCATACATATATACATAGTTTGTAATACGTCATTATAATGTACGCCCATTTCAATAGGTGTTGGAGAATGCAATATACTATTTTGGTAATGTAAAATAATGGCCTATTGAAATAATGTTTGTCCGACTTAGCAACAAATACTGTATGCAATTCGTACGCTGACTATTGAGATACAATTATTTGTAACAGGGGAATAAACTAATTTGTATCGAGGCACTTCAGAAGGATGCATGCATTGAATAGCCTATTGCTAAATTAGGTTGATTTTTCGATATTATTTCCATTCATGATCATGCTCTTGTTTCAAATGTATATCAGCATTGATTTAGCAGTTATTGTATCACCATATTGTATGACAGCTGGGATGGATGCATCACACTCTATGACAGACAATGGAAGGTGATTAGAGAAATTAGCATACCTAGGATTGGCAGCTCTGATGATGCTAGTGTGTACGTTGATATCCTACTATATTTACGTTTTCTCATCTTCGAGCACGTTAAAGGTACTATGTCCCATTTGCAGGCCAAAAAATGAAAAAGTTAAATTCCAACTGCATTTGAAAGATAATACTAATTTAGAACTTCCCTAAAAAAGGTGGGGCTTGAAAATGTCTTCAAGTGGGAAAATAACGACTATTAGTTGTCAGATCGACTTTAGGGCTATAGAGCCCAAAAGTAATAGTCTTGATTTTCTGACAATTGTACCGAATGGTCATACGTTTTATGCTGCGCAAAGATTCAATCAGTTTAATCTTGGCCATCACAAGAAGTGGGTTTTTGATGTAGACAAATGCTCATGTGCCCTTTACAACTCTTTTCATGTATGTTATTACCAAAGAAGAAAGAAAGCCAGTGAGTCACTCGATAGTGTCTGACAGTGAAGTCTAGCAAGTAAACGGGTTTCCTTGCATAATTTGAATATGAGGACACTGCTAACGTTTAAATTTTACAGATAGGACATAAATGACATATTCATAATTCCTGCAAAGTTCTACAGCATTTGAGGTTGGCTGCAAAAGGGACATAGTACCTTTAAAGCAAGTGTTCGAGATGCGATTCATTTCACGAGGGTTGCAGGGGGCATACATTTATCCGGAAGTCTTGCAATCCTTCGGTACACTGCAGTGCAGCCGACATTACAATTAGTGACCATGTTTACCATTAATCAATTTTTACCAATCAAATTATTGTGTCTCACTGGTAATTGATGACTTAAAGACTGATGATGGATTTTTTAAATATAAAGAGATGGTATTAAACAAAGGCTTAACCGCCCAAAATATCAATGAACGCATTCGAAGTAGTTGTTTATTAAAATATGCATTTGTCAAAAGGTGAACAGAAGAAAAGGATTTCAATTTTGGTCGGTTGGTTTGTTTTACCTAAGCATGTTTTTGCTTGTAAGTAAGCTACGAGGGGATCAACGGCTTTTTAAGTCCTCTCCAATGGACTTGGTTAAGAAGATTAATGCCCTACCAGAGGAAAGAAGCGCATTGACTTGGTTTCGAACCAGGGACCCACGGGTTATGAGACCACTGCTCTACCACAAAGCCATCGCGCCTCCTTCGTTCCCAATCTTGTGGAAGTTCGACTCATGAACCTTCCCAGGAGTTATCCGGAGACCCACATGACCAAGGATCTTCGGGCTCGTGGGTCCTGAAAAGGAGTCGTGGTGTATAGGACCGTCGTCGGACTTTGGAACACATGGTTCGCGGTTCGAATCCCACCGCGGCACGAATATCCTTTGCCACTCTCCAATCAGGTGTTAAAGGGACTTGGTAACATTGTTCAGATGATAGAAAATGGTGCTAAGGTAGTGACTTCAATGCTAGATGTACAAGAGAGAGAGAGAGAGGGGGGGAATAGAAATAGAGAGAGAAATAGTGAGAGAGAGAGAGAGAGAGAGAGAGAGAGAGAGAGGGGGGAGAGAGGGGGTGGGTAATAACATTAACATTAGAAGATGATGACAAGAGCACCTCCTTCGTTTACTGAAATAAAAGAAAATGCTAAAAATATGATCTGTACCATTCTCTCACTCGACAAAGGAGTTATTTGAGAATTTAAAAAGTACGAAAAGGACTTTCAAGAACTCACCCCATCAAGGAGAATTTGAATATCATTCTGCATCACCCATGAAAGTGTGTGAACGGTACATTGACATTAGGGACTTTTAGATTTGCACGACGAGAACGTGGACTGCTATGTGTGACATCCTTTTAAGGCAATGTGACCTCCTTTAAGGCACTGCCGGGCACTGCCGCCTGCCGGTGTCTTAAAAGGACGTCACATTGCCTTAAAAGGATGTCACACGTAGAAGTCCATGTTCTCGTCGTGTATATCTAAAAGTCCCTAATATCTCACTGACAACGGCCAAGGCTGGAGAATACATGAATTAGACGTAAAATATATAATCAATCAGAGCACATATAGGTAAAAAAAAGTCCAGCAATGCGCCCCGTTGAGTATCTTTGGAATTCTGCAACCCCGCCCTTAAAGAAATCCCGGGTCTGTCCCTGTAAGTGAAAAATCCTATGAAGCTTAACCGAAACGGAAAATGATTTAATCAAATGATGGTGGGTGTATCTTTGGGTTATCCCAGGGCAATCTGCACTGGTTTAATCTTCCTACTTCCATAGGTAGTTGTGAAAATCAAGGGGAATCCTACCCCATCCCCCCCCCCCCGCACCCACGCACACACACACGCACACATCTCCCTCCATCTCTCACTCTCTCTCTCTCTCTCTCTCCCTCCATCTCTCACTCTCTTTCTCCCTCTCTATGTCTCTGTCTGTCTCTGTCTTTCTCTATCTGTCTCACCGTCCCTCCTCCCCCTCTCCTCTCTCCTTTTTTCAGTTTCTTTTTATCCCTTATTCATCTCTGGTCCTCCTCCTCCTCTTTCTCCCCAAGCACCTAGCTCCTCCTCCTCCTCCTCCTCCTCCTCCTCCTCCTCCTCCCTCCATTCTCCAAATCTCCGATTTTCAAATCCCCACCGAATAATTTCATGTGCGGACGGTGACAGCCTATGACTATATGTGCAACTATAGTCGTTGAATGAGGAGGGCAGAACATATAATTGACGATCTTACAAAAAACAACATACACTCACTGAAAATCAATAAATCGAAATCATCCTCCGCCACGGTTTAAAGGTGTTTCATAATACGATCAATACTTGTGAAAAATCTAAAACCATAATGATCTTTTGTTAGATTTTGGAATGGTGCTTTATATTGATTCGGTGAAAATGGTAACGGATCCGTTCGTTTGATTTGCATGCAAGATATGCTAGAACTTTGATAAATAGGGGGTGCAAAATGTATGTT